TTTTTTTCATGTTTCTTTATTCAATTATTTCCGATGATCTGCAAGTGTCCTTATATTTATGACCAGGAAGTGTATAAGCAATTAATGATCTGCACCGTAAATCAAAAAGTCAAAAGTCAAAACTAGTTTCGACTTATGGCGAAACCTTTTGACTTCCGTACAGTTGCGAAACTCTCTAGTTTGGAAACCAACACTAGTTGATACCTATTATAGTTACTATTCCGCACATAACTTTTATAGTACGGAATTCGCACAAGAAAATTCTATTCAAAATCGCGTTTCAACGAATCCTTGAATGATTTAAAATTCCACGACAAGGTAGAAACCTAAAGTGTATTATGACATAATAGTTACATATAAAATATCTAAATATCGTCACTCTTATTCTGAAAGTTCGATACTCTTCTCGATTGATAAATGAAGTTCCTATTAAAAGTCCCTCGATTTTGGAATCTTACTACGTGAAGCAAAAAATTTAAAAATTCATTGCAACGCAAATTTAATTATAGTTCGTTAAAACAAGATCGTTTATATGTATTAAATAGTATATATCAAACCGACTCTAATCAAATCATGGTTCATCGAGATATATATATTAGGTAGTATATATTAATATTGATTCGATTCTGATTCATTGGTTCGAGTCTTAGTTAAGGTCATAGGCTCTATTCCAGAAAAATTTATTTTATCATCCTGGGTCCACTTTAAAAACAATGAGCCTGGAATTCATCGAAACACATTTTTCTCCATTATCCATAAATAGTATTATTTTAAAATTTTTAATCAATGTATTTATAAGACCTTCGTGTCAAATGATTCCCTTCTTTAAAGGCTGCATTTTTTTGCTATAAGTCACGTGTTAAAAAATTTTATAACATAGTAGCATATGACTTCAACTACAATTGTCCGGATCTCCTTTTTTTACATGTTGACATGCATTTGAAACTTTTTCTAAGAAAATTTCTTGATTTCTTCCCAAAGTAACATGTTCAATGCTTCTGAAACAAATCTTTGCAAGCCTACAAAAAATATAGTCACAATTATCTTTTGTATGCCTTTTCCCAGTATATCTCAATGAAATTAAGCTCACAATGTAACTTGGGGTAAAAGATATAATAATCAATTAGAGTGGTTACACGTTCGGCCGTCCTAAAAAAATTGTATATAGATGGTAGTCAAACCTTGTCACAGCGGACTATAATTAAATTCTTGTCATAACGGATTTTAATAAAATTTCCATTTTAATTTTCTTATGTGTCCCGTTCATCCACTGTGGCAAGGTTGGCTATAATACTAACACTAATACTGAATATAGGGGGCAAGCCTTAGCATATTTATTAATATGGAGTATGGAAAGCAAAAATGAGTCAAAAATTTTTCATTGAGATAATAATGCAGCCACATGTGATTTGGGACGGAATCTTTTTGCTTAGAAACATACTCTATATTTATGAAAATATTTGTTTCATATGTAAAACATTGGTAAATGCAGATGTCGATTTCTCTAAATTGGATTTTGCCCAATGTGTCCTTTCTACTTGTTGTACCTCATACCCGCGGGAAAACGCATTCCGTATTAATATGGTTTCCATATTAATATTTAACGCCCCATTTCTCCGTACATAACATATTGGATACATATCTTATATTCCACGTGTGTTTTCTGTAAATTCCATATTAACATGCTTTCAGTATGTTTTCCATATAAAAATATACGGAAAGGCACTCTCTTTCACTGGAAAGAAGGCTCGGTACATTTTCTGTATTAGTATGGTAAAAACTGAAAACATATGGAAATCAAAATGTACTGTATTTCCGTAAAAATTTTTATAGGCTTTGAAATTGAAATTATACCGTTCTTTAGATTAAACCATGCTCGAATCAATACGATTAATTGCCACATTTTTTGGTGCTTTAACACCATAATCAATATTTTTACCTTTCTCTAGTATTGTTAATTTTGACAAAGCATTCTCGAATTTTTCAATTAGGCCTTTTTCATTAGTTTCAATTTCTAAAGGATCAATTTCAATTGTTTCATCCTCAACAGCAGCAGTTTAAAGACGACATTTTTTCGTTTGACCGCATGTACAATATAAATGGAGAGACTTTTTAATGGCTGGAAGTTACTAATTTATTGTCAGGTGATATATAATTCAGATCCATCTTCTGAACCAAATCGTTGTTTCAGAATCATAAATAGTTTCATCTAAGGGATTGTCATGATTTACATCAAGGCTTAAATAACTATTTTGATTATTTTAAGTTTCGTTGTGATTTAGATTCTTTTGCGTCTTTAATTGACTATTTCAATATTTAGAAAGTATTTAAAGCTTTTTTTTATATAATTAAAAGAAATATTTTATTTGAACGCGTAATCTCAATTCGGGTTTTCCAAATTTGGAAACGATTTCGTAATCCCATTCCATCAAATATATCGTACAAAATATGTATGGCTCACGCCTTACTATCTTGTGTGTTGTTTGTTTCCAACAACATGTATAATACTTTTTTGACTTATAAATTATCACACCAAAATTGTATCTTGCTTCTGGTGCAATATAAAACATCACCCCAATCTTCATATTATTTGCCATTATGAAGATCACAATGAACATAATCCATTGTAAATTTTCTTCTTGCAATTTAAGAAGTAGAATCCAATTCTGATTCTGATTTTTCATGTGATATCCCATACTAATATATTCATTCATTCAAAAAAAATTTCAAAAATAATATTAATATTGGGGAAATAATTAAAAAGGGGTAAAAAAATTGCAAAAACGGTTGTGAAACCTTTACCAAATATATGAAATCATTCAATGCAAATGTCATCTATATGAAGTCTTTGTGATTTTGGCATCATAATTATAATTTTGTAACTAAAAAAAAAAAAAATAATAATCTAATTAGAAAAATGAAAGAATAATGACAATAAATAATAAATAATAAAAAAGATTATTGTTTACTTTTAAAAAAACCCCTTTTGGAATATTTTGAAAATCTTTGATTTTTTTAAGCTCTGATTTTTTCATAAATATATATATATATCTTAATCCGTCTTCTATGAACAATTGCGAATCCTTATTCACCCTACCTATCAAGATCCATCCATTGATAATCGTAAAATGGCGTTCCAAGTTAATTTTATCATTTTAATAAGTTACACAAATGTGAATATGGAATATTCTTAAAAAAAAAAAGATAAAAAAATATTATTTTATATAATCGATTAATAAAAATTTGTGGCATTTACGATCCATAGACGGATGACTTATTAACTATTTTGAATTATGAAGCTCCATAAAGCCTAAACTGATTATTATTGGCTATTTAGCTTATCGGCTTTAATAATCAGCTCTTTGTGTCACGAAAATTGGAAATCAATCTGGTTGGACGTATATATAAATTTCGACTGCGTCATATATACGGATTTGGTTAGCGCTCCCTCTGAATTTGCGGCGAATATTTTGACAATTTCTAACGTTCCAGTTATATATACACATATAAAAACCTTTTTAGAATTGGTAATTATTAATTGATTATTATAATCAATGTCCAACAGCAGCGATACCAACACACCCTCAACGATGGTGGAAAAGGCTACGGATAAAGGATACAAATTCGGGAGAAAAAGTTAGCAAAAAGGTAAACATAATAATAACACCCACTATCCTTTTTAGAAAAGCATCTAACCATCACCGAAGCCTTTAAAACTATTTTCTATCTCATCAATCTAGAAAACACAGCTTTCTAAAGTTGATGCATTTAATCTTGTGGTCGTCATTGCGCCAAATCTTAGTCAAGATCACCTACAACACAGTCATGCAACCCGTAACCTTTCTCCAAATTCACGAAGAGACGAAAATTCACACCATGACTTTTGTTTTAGAAACCCTCGGGAACTTTACGCTGTACGCTGTAACATTTGGAACCGGAATCTTGCTTCAGCGCATTCTTTTCTTCGTGATCGGCATCCTAATAGTCAATTGGAACCTGTTGGAAAAGCCTGGATCATTTCGAAAATAGAAGCACGGGAAAGCGATATTGGAAAGATGAGCGATTTTTTCATATTTCTTGAATCACGTCATCAAAATTTCAAAATTTATCGTACATCAAATAGTAGCTATAATTAAAAATGAACTTGCAGATTTAATAGCATAGCAAAAATAACAATAAAGGTTACTTTAATCATTAAAGTATTTTCCTTTCAATAAATCTCGCAAGAAATAATCATGGAACAACGAAACATTGTAATATGAGAAGATCAAGGCTATTTATGGATTCAATGATGTTTTTTACATATATGTTCTTAATGAAGTTCTTGATTCATATATTATGTTCATATAGAGATGATTTTCTCAAATAAAAAAAGAACTTTTGAATAATAATCCTGAAAAAATTAATTGTCATGTTTCTATTTTATTTGTTTATTTGTTGTTTATTATGGATTTGAATTAATTAATTAATTAAACTATTAATATATTAAAAAAAAATATGAAAAATGCAAAATATTTAAAGTATTTAAAATATTTACAAAAAAAAATTAGTTGTATTAAATTTGAAAAAAAAAAAAATTTAATGAATGTAAATACTATTTAATCAATAAAATATAAAGACGAGAAAAATGAATTTAGTTGGATGCTCGCAGGTTCCATTTTTCAAGAATTGTTCTTTATAATTTTTATTCAATGAATGGTTTTGATCTTTCTTGATTTAAAAAATTAATATGATGGTTTCTGGTCTTTGTCCCAAGAATTCCTCTGCCTTAATCGCATAATACTTCATAGTCATCACATTCAAATGGAAAAATAGATTTCGTTGAAATATTTTGTATAAATTGTTTTGCCTCGTTCAACAATTCTTTTGAAAATATCATTTCCGGTGATAACAAGTTTGAAGGTTGATTTTTTAATTTTGTAATATTATAACTAAATTCACTCAAATGTTTTGTTTTAGCATAATTCATTATAACTTTTAAATAATTGTCGTAATAATTTTGATTATTATTATTATTGTGTGATTTTCTCCTTATTTCACCTTCTCCCAATAATCTCTCATCGACCACTGCATTATTACTACTACTACTACTATTACTAACATGGTCAATTGTAATTATTAATGATTTAATATTAGGATGAAAATCTTTTAACAAATATTCCAATTCATCATAACCGAATACGGAATTAAGGTGTAAAGTGTTTAATGAAATTGGTAAATTTTTTCCTAATTGATTTAAATCTTGTTCGGTCATTTTGGTAGAATAATTTTTGAGATTTAAAACTAAATGTTTTAAATTTGTGGTTGATAATAATATTGAAGAGGAGATCAAAGTGTTCGTAGTAGTAGACAATGCTAAATAATTTAGGTTTGCACAATGTCTATTTATAACTTCCAGATGCGCTTTTGTGGAATTTTCCAATGTCAACTCTGAAAGATTACAATTTACCAAATATAAAATTGTTGTGATTACACCATCCAAATGAGAATTTAGAAACTTTAGCTTATTGATTTTCATCAAATTATTTGTGTTATTTTCTAAATGACAAGAAATGATTTCGTCGTTATCGTTCTCGTTCGCATTCACATTTTCTTCCTTTCTTTTATTTTTTTGATAGCAAGAATTAAATTGCAATAAATCTAAATTATTACACTTAATCAGTGGAAGTATGGAATCTTCACTTAACGGAACTGAGTCAAACACCAATTTCTTCAAAGATTTGGATTGTGTTGAGCAAGAATTTATATATTCTTCACTGAAAGCTTCAGGACAATTTGTTCGTGAGTACCTAAAATAATTTAGACTTCTTTGAGATTCTATTAATTTTCTTAATTTCTCTGTTTGACTATTCTCATAATCTCCAGTAATGTCAATATTAATATATTCAACATTTTTTGTGGAGTTGTTGATTAATAATTCTAAAATCTTTGTTAGATTTGCTGTATCATTTTCATTCAAATAATCAAAGTCTCCTTTAATTTCTAATGTTTTTAGATTCCTGAATACCAGCAATGGTGAACGTAATGATGATAAATTTGGAATCGTGGAAGTTTCTTCATTCCAACTTCCCAAACTGAAACTCCGGAGCCCGTTTGAATTAACAAACAACATTTTACATATTTCTGATGTTATGAATGATAATAATTCCCGATAAACGTCATAAACGTTATAACAATGGTCGCTTAAGCTTAACCAACAAATGATTGAACTCTCTAATTCTGCTAAATCCAAATCCCTCAAGTATGTTGAATAATTCAAAATCGGATTTTTCAATTGATCGCTTAAACAGATTCCGAATTTATCAAACAATTGTGATTTAAAATCATCTGATGAACATGCAATATAAGTATCAATGAGACTGGAACGATTTATATTTTCTGCATTTTCTATATCGAGATTGTTGTTGCATGTTATATTTAAACATTCATCGAAATAATTATTATTATTACTATTACTATTATCTTCTTCTTTATTTGATTTCTTTAATAAAACAAAAGGACGTTTCCAAAGTAAAGGAACGACGAGTTGAAACCAATCTTTATTAACTAATAAACAATCATATAAAGAATGTTTGTCATCTTCGATATATTTGAAAATCTCTAGTAAAACATCTGAAGGAAGTGTTGGTAATTGTAATGATTTATTTTTAACATTATTATTATAATGACGCTGGTAGTAATGAATGTTATTATCATTGTCATTATAATTATTATGCTTATTAAATTTGATAAAGCTATTAATCTTATTATTGCTGTTGTTATCGCTGTTGTTGTTGAGATCGAAATTAAAAAAACTGAATTGATGGTGGAAATTATTAGTATTATTTAACATCATGATTGGAATTTTTTTTTTTTTTGAATTGAGAAAAAATCTTCAAGATTAATTAATTGAAATGGCTGAAAGAACGATGGTGATTAATCGAATAAATGGATTAAACTGATTGATAAATTGTTTTTTTGGTAAAGATTTTCTGTGCATTGGTTTAGTATAAGAAAAAGTAATTATCGTTAATTAATTGTCGCTATTTTTTAATTGATAAATAATTATCATTGATTTTCTTGGACAAAAAGAAAAAAAAACATGTCTTCGCGCATGCAAAGAATAATTTACCTTTCTCTTTTTTTCTTTAAATCAAAATCAAAGTTTATGAAATAAGCAAAAAAAAAGATGGATATAAAAAGTGTACGAGTAAATCTTTAAAAATAATTTTTGTGAAAAATAAAAATAAAAAAAATTTTTAAAATTTTTAAAAAAAAATAAAAAATGGGTTTTTTTCCTTCAAGGGAATTCCAAATTGAATGTATATATATATACAATAAAATAGCAATAAATAAATAGTATAATGAAAATAATAATTATTGTATTAAAAGTATTAAAACAATATTTTGTACTCCTTGTATTGTTTATATTATAACATTATTTATATGAAAAAAAAATAAAATAAAAAAACATAACAAAAATAAAAAGTCTAGTTTAAACTTAAAAAAGAAAAATACTCTTATAGTACAAACTGTTTTTTTACCTCGGGGATTATTTATTATAGGTAAACAATTGTGAGTATGACATTATTATACTTTTTTTTTCCATGTGGAATATAACTCTTTTTCCTATTATTTTTAAATAATAAATTATATTATGTCATATACTGTCATTCAAATTAACAATTAATTAGCTATTTATTAATCATTTAACAATCGTGTGTATCTCTATCCGGTATTAATTTTTAGAAAAAAACAAGCGTATGTGATAATAATAGTAACCTTGTATTACTATGTTCTATTACACAGAATTAATTAAACATGCAAGCATTAGTGGGTTTAGTCCATTCTATAACCTAATTACTTGGGTTATACCCAGTCATGAAAGCTCTCGCTCCCGGATCAAGAGAAATGATACGGCACCTCAATTCTCCTCAATCACTGAAAATTTAGGATTTTGGTTATCAGCCTTTATTTTGGGTATTTTTCTATAACACTTTTGGGGAATGAATGGGAGTAGTCACACCTCTCATTCTTCCCCATCCCAATCTATTGACCCGACTGCTAAATTTCAATGGAAAGTTCCTTCTTTTATTGCAGCTTTATTATTATTTAACAGGTCAATTATTGCTGCTTCTCCAAGATCAGGGTCAATGAATGTGAATTTTTAGATTTATTGATATAATCTTCACCTAAATATTGTTTATTTTCCATTTTCTATATCAACATTAACTGCACTAAACATTACTGATCTATTTTAATGTTGTTTAGCCAGAAGAGATTTTTCAAAAGCCTAGGGTGAAATTAAAACTCTTCTGGTAAAAAAGGAATATGATTTAAATCATAAGGCATTTAATCAACTTATAACCCATGACCCAAGAGCTAGTCTTTTTAAAGCGTCATCCCATTGACTTGGCACAGTGATTTACTAGTGTTTTTGATTCAATGAATTCATCCCAGAATGGCTTAAATCTTTTTTTTGTAAAATAAATTCAATGAATAAATATTCGTCTTTTCTTGTAAAAAAAAAAAAAAAAAAAAAAAATCTTGTTTTGCATCGAAAATCAAAAAAAAATTTTTTTTTTGACTGTATGTCACGCACGAAACAAGATACAACTACTACATACTACAACTAAAACTTTCTAATTAATTGATTTTTTGCTTTTTTACGATACCTTGTTTGATATTAATTTCTAATTATTATTATTTTTTTTCTAGAGTGATGTTTTATCTGCTTGTGACATATTGCGGTCTTTTGTTGGATGGGCCGACTCCGTGTCATAATATTTTTGATATTAAGAAAGAAAAACAATCAGAAAATTATTTACTTTGTGCTGGGAAAAGTCTAAAAATAATACGATAAATATTTAATAAATAATCGGTTGATTGATCAATTTAATTGATAAAAAATATTGTTTGTCAATAATAATAATAATAATTATAATCAATTAGGAATAATAATAATAATAATCAATAGGAATAATAATAATAATAATCAATAGGAATAAAAACAAGAACCGCGAACATATAAAGCTTAGATCGTTTAAAGTAAATTACATAATGAGAGCATCCCTAAATGTGTCTTATTATGTCTAAGGGTGGTTTGTAATTTAAGTTAACCAATAAAAATCGTTGATAAATTTATTTCATTCCGTAGAATTTTAACGAAGCCAAAGAAGTAAAAACCAAAAAAAAATATGCCAAAAAAATCTAAAGGAAAAAAAAGTATTTTAAAAAGAAAGACCAATAAAACCACCTCTGCTACTAGTCAGTCTGCTGACTATTCTGACGATTCATTAAATGAATACGAAGAAGCTCAACTTAGAGAAGCAATTCTAGCTTCTAAAAAAGAATACGAGTCTAAAAGCTCTCTACAGCAAGAAGAAAAAGAAAAAGAAGGAGGGGGAGAAGGAGCAACTATTGCTGGTACAAGTAAAGGCATCAATACTTCTAATCTTGTTATTGATCAAGATATGGGAGTTGATGTTGATGATGATGAGGCGGAAGAGGACCAGGAAGAGGATATGGAAATTGATAAAACTGAGCAAGAAGAAAAAACTTCAAAGAAATCAAAAAGGTTGAAAAGAAAAAAAATAGCAAACCAAGAGTCAAAACAAGATAAGAAAGCTTATAATAATAAACGTATAAGATCAAAAGTTAGAACTAGTAATAATGATATCGGTAACAGTAATAATAATAATAATAGTGAATTTAAAAACGACCTGTCAAATAAATCGATACAAGATCAACCTGAATACAAAGTAGGAAAAGAATGGTTACAACAATTGTTAGAAGAGAAAAAAGCAAGGCAATCTGCCAAAACAATATATAGGATCCAACAATCTGAAATCATTGATAATAGAGAATTGGGAAATAATACAGAAGGTAGAAAAGATGGTGAAGAAGAATTGCTTCAATACGAAAAAAGAAATCTTTATATTTACAAAAAAATAAAAACAAGATATGAACGTAAGATAAAAGAAGCTGCAAAAGAAAGAATTATGCGGGTACCATCATCTAATATCGATGAAAGTGATTTAAGTATGAATGAAAAACTCAAGTTGAGACTTAAAGAGTATGCATTAGAAGAAGATCAATTTGTTATTGAAATATTAGAAACTAAAATAAAAACTCCTAAAATTAAGATATTTTCATCAATGGAAGAACTTAGAGCTTTATCCTCTTCTCCCTCCCGTTCATCATTATCATCTTACTCACACTCTTCATCTTCTACTACTGCTGCTGCTACTAATTCTTTTATAAAAAGACCAAAACCTGATTATAATCAATATCTTGATAAACTCTTTACTAAACAACCATGGATGACAAAAAAAGATATAAAATATTTAACCGATTTATTCACTAAACCAGAATCAATTGCTTCATGTGCTTCAATTAAGGTAATAAATATTTCAGAAAACATGTGTGTGGTGTATGTGTTAACGAGCATTTGTTTGTATATATATATGTGTGTGTATATATATGAGCATATGTATGTGTGTCTATATTTCTATGTCATTATTGTTGAGATGATATTAATAATTCAAATAACTCTGATTGATTAATTATTTAATTTTAGAGAATTATAAATGTAGAAAATTTTAATAGTTTCACAAATGAACAAAAAATTCGTATTATGAAGTTAATTCCCATTGAAGACATTGTACCAATTGCAAGTATAACAGGCGAACCAATTGATACACCATATATAGAACGTGAACGCACATACAAAGATGAATTTTTATATGAAGCAGGAATTCATGGTCAAATTACCGGTATTGATCCAATGAAAGTGACACCTCGGTTTGATTTTTGGTTGTCAGATGATGTGAAAGATGCCAGGTGGTGGTGGCAACTTAGCATTGAATATGGGTATTATACAAAGTATGGAGTAAATCAACAATGGGACGAATATGAAAATTTCAGGTGTAATCTTCCTAGTCACTGGAAGGTAAGTTGTGTATATGCCTATATATACAGTCATAGTTATAATCATATTTATTCATCATCTACATATATTGTTAGAGCGATGCATTTGAAGAGATGTGGGGAGAAATACTAAAAGAAGGTGTTGGCAATGTACAATTAGCGGGAGATTCTGCCAAAATAACACTTCCAGATCTCGTTAAAGCAAAGGTCATCAAAGAAGGTGATATATTGATATATAAACGAAGTTTTGCAAAACTTGATATTACTGTTACAACAGAACTTGAGGTAAATAAGTAATTTGGATATTTATTATATTTTCATTTCTTCCACTCAAAAAAAAAAAAAAAAATCATTGATTAGTTTGTATTATTAGGTGTTGAGAGTTAATAGAAACAATGGATGTATGGCTGTAAAGTTTGGTAAAGGCAAGAATTTCAGAGTGATTGAAGATGTTCAGAGACCAACAAGTTTAGAGAAAGAAATATTGGATTTTGATGGTAGAATTCCAAAAAGTTCACGACCACATGGAAATGCGTTCAAGAATTTGTCTATTGTTAAATCAGAAAGTTATAAACCATCACTGTTTGAAGTTCGTAAAGAATATTGGACTAAAAATAATACCATCTCATAATTAATTAATAATTTTGTAGATAAAACAACATCAAAGCTGTACTAATAATAATAATAATGTCAGATGATATGATAATTCATATTATTTTATTGGAAGAAATTGAAAAATTTTATTCATTTGTTTTTTTTTAAATAAATTTATATTTTTGGTACATTTTTGTTTTTATATAATAAATTATTTTTTAACCAAATTTTTTTTAGCAAAAATAATAATAAAATGTAATTTATTTAGAAAAATTTTTTAATTATTTAATCAACAAAGTTGTAGTAGTATTAAATGCTTTATACATTGAATGAATTAACATTAGCAACTTGTTCATTCATTTCATTCAACAAGATCACAGGCTTTGTAAAAGTGAGCGTTTATCTAAGAGGAAGGTTCATTATCATAGACGTTGACCAATTCGGCTACTTGCAATGCTTGAACATCCAAAATTTGATTTCTTCTTGTAATTGGTTGAATAAAATCACCAATTTTAAATTGTGTATTTACTCCTTTTGGTGTGTATTGGAATTAATATTGATATGAATGGATTAGATCATTAAATAATATGAAAAGAGGTAAAGGCTAAAGAATAAAAATAAAAATAAAAAGAGTCTTTGGGTATTTAAATAATACTTTAAAGAAATATGAAGGATATATATATGTACGCATAAAAAAATCTTTTATGCATTATCGTTAGTATATATATAATGTCAAAGATAAAAATAATAATTACATAATTCATTTGTTTTATTAAACTTGTAATTACGTGAAATCACGTCCAATTTTACAGTTTGTTATCACACTGTAGCTGCTATTCTAAAAACAAGACCAATTAACCCGAATTATTATTGATTGATCTTTTTTAATCATTATTTTGATTGTTTGTTAAATATTATAATCTGTCTTAAAAGAAAAGCATCGCTCTTCCAATTGCACAGCGTGTGACTATTTTTTGGAGGCTTCCCCCGTATTGGTGGCTGTGATTGAATTTCTAAATTTGTGTTTAGATTTTTTGATTGACGCGGACAATCTGCATGTTTGATGGATACGCTTAGACCTTGGACTTGGACAATGAGCACGACGACTTGGTCTTTTATTTATAACCTTTGGACTTGGGAAGATTGAAATATTTAATTTTGAAATTTCTTTTTTTAGGGGAGAAATTTCAGAATTATGACGTACTAACTTAGTCGTCACACATCTCACATCTCACACATGCCAGATATACATCATACAATTCACAATAAATAAACACTAATACTAATATACTACTAACACATTACAGTAAATAATACAAATAATGAACTTTCAAAAAAATTTTTTAAAAAGAACCAAAATCAGTTTTAAATTGAAACAACGTGTGTATTACTTAAAATTATTTTAGAAAATAATAAAAATAAACATTAATTAACTCAATTATTTTTATCCATTTCTTTTTTCTTTCAAAAAATTTTAAATCCAAAATTTAAATATCATTTTCATTTTTCCTACATTCTTTATATTATTTCATAAATAAGTAAATAACCACCTGTATTTTATTCATATAATATTCCTTCATTCATAGTCATCATTATTCCCCTGTAATTATTATAGTTTGATACTATTAATTTTTCATAAATTAATACATATAGTACATACAGTATACTTATATTGCATTTATATTAGTCTCCAATTTCTATTATACTTTTCATTTCTATAAAAGTTGACTTTTTTTACGCAAGTCGTCAAAGAAATTAATTTGTAAAGTTTTCATAAAAAAAAAAAACCGTATATATATATATATATTTAAATAAATAATCATGTCTGTTGACTCGATAAAGTTGAAAGAATTAGAGGATTATCGAACTTTGACTGAATCGGTAAGTTTTCAAAATAATAATAATATTCTTTCTCTACATCAACAAAACAATCATTATTCACACTTTTAATAAATTTTATAGCTTCGTGAACAACTTGAACGTGTCCATAAAGAAAATTCATTATTGATAGATGATAATAATCTTGTCCGTAGGAAAATCACTTTTATTAAACAAGAACTTACTAACAGTCATAATGAATATTCACGTCTTGAAAATGATCTTTATCAGAGTACTCAGGAAACTGAACGTCTGAAAAAAGAAAATGCGATGTTTTTAAAATATAAACGTGAAATTGAAAAGAAATTACGTGAAGAGGTAAGTAAATTTGAGATATATTATAAAAATATTATTTGATTATTGGATATTATCAAAAAAATAGAATATTTAATTTATTTAAATCCACTCATTATTAACACCTTTTTAATTTTTATTATAGACGCAAATTTATGAAAAAGAAAGATTGATTTGGCATGAACGTGAATCAGAATTACTTGATCAAGCCAAAGCACTTCAAGAAACTATAAATGTTCTCGCTCAACAAAGCGAACAGTCATCGCAAAAAAAAAGTGATTCTTCTCCAATCCCTTATGAAACATTATCAGCTAGTCACTACTCTAATGCTCGTGAACTTAAAAATGCTCAAAGACAAATCAAGGAATTAGAGCACAAAATTAGCGAATTGGATTCTGTTCTAGTCAAAACTAAACAAACTTCCACCGAATCTATTGAGCTTAATAAAAATCATGTTCGTAGAATTCAACAATTGGAAAATGAAATCTCTCAAATTAAATATATGAATAATACCTTGATGGAAGATAATGAAAGCTATCAATTATTGTTACACGAGAAAACAATCAAAGGTGATTTCATCATGAACCCAATCTTGCAGGTAAAATCAATTAATGGTAATGTTTATTGAATCTCATATATTGAATATATATTTAACGTTTATGTATATGTTTTTTTATAGTTGGAGAATTTTGATTTTGACAATATGAAATATACCGATAAAGCAGAAAAGGTGACCGACAATATAGCTAAAGATGATGATAAAGATTCTCAGAAATCAAGAGATTCTCCTAAATCAGAAGATTCTTCGGTTAAAAATAAATTAATAAATCATACTGATCTTTCTGCTGAATTAGAACGTGCTAAGGCACTCACCGTGTCATTACAAGGTGAAAATGTATATAAAGAAAGCGACCATACCATAATAGAAAGTAAGTGTTATGATAATTATTATTAGCATAAATAATACACGTGATAATAATAATAATATTTTCTAAATTTTTTAGAGTTTCAAGATGAAATCAAAACGCTTAGAGATGCAAATAAATCAATGCAACTCTACATTCAAAAAATTCTCAATCGTATTATGGAAGCAAAAGGTTTCGAGGAAATATTATCATCAGATTGGTCTGCTGGATCATTAGGCTTTGGTGGTGATCAAGATGAAAAATACAATAATGATGATGGCAAGAGAACAGAAAGGCGTAAAAATTTGTCCGGACTTCATTTCCGTAGTATTTCTCAACCACCTAATAAAACTCACAAAATTCAAATTCTAACAGAAGAGCCAGAGTCTTTACCTGATAATTATAATAGTAATCATAAAGAATTGATTTTAACCAAGGGATTATCGGTGCCCAAACGAACTCAAAGAAGTAAATCTATCTCTGATGCTAAACATAACACTCTCAATACTAGCAATAACAGTAAACGATTTAGTTTCTTGGAATGGGTTGGAGGCAATAAAGAAACTAGTAAAAAAGATGATCCTTACATGAGACAATTAACGCTTTTAAAAGAAAAAAATTAAAAATGTAACTTTTCTTTTTTTACATATATTTTGATATATAAAATTTATGATTTGTATATTTTTTTTTTTTTAAATAAAAATTTTTAAAATTATATTGCATTACGTATAAACTGGGGCGGGTTGTTATTATTATATCAGATATATATTATACAAATTTACCACTTTGTATCACCAAAATTATTAGTGACTTTGTTGCCCAATGATCACACATTAATATTTAATGTTAATATTGAGAACAATTTCTTTATATTTATTTCATTTTTTATAATGGACGTTGAAATGTCTGAACAAGAGCCTATTGAACCAATTAATATCAATGATAACATCGCTCCAAAAAATAATAGTACTGGATCACCAAAATCTGTTGTTATAGAAGAGAACGAACAACAACTACAAATTAAAATGGAGACAACTGTCGAAGATTCAAAGGTAGCGACAAGCACCACGACCACTACCACTGTAGTAGATGCTGCTACCGCCGCCGCCGCTGGAGCTGAAATAGTAACTACCGAGACAGCCATTCCTGGTACAGAACAAACTACTATTATGAATGATGAGGAAGAAAAAAACAGGCTTGAGGAGGAAGCTCGCAAATTCCTATCTTTACAAGCACAAGAAATAGTAATACCATCATATGCTGCTTGGTTTGATATGGCGAAAATTCATAATATCGAAAAAAAATCTTTACCAGAATTTTTTAATAAAAAAAACAAATCTAAAAATCCAACTGTTTATAAAGAATATAGAGATTTTATAATCAATGCATATCGACTTAATCCTTCAGAATATCTAACCGTCACTGCTTGTCGTAGAAATTTGGCCGGTGATGTCTGTGCAATTATTCGTGTACATGCTTTTCTTGAACAATGGGGATTAATAAATTATCAAGTAGGAATTTTTTTTAATAAATCACGTTTATGTGCATTAATAATTTAATAATAATAATAATAATAAATTATAGGTAGATCAAGATACACGACCATCATCTGTTGCGCCTCCTTTCACGGGACATTTTGTTATTACTGCAGATGCACCAAGAGGTCTTCAACCATATCTACCAAAAGGTTCTGTTGCTGTTTCAAATACGAATCAATCTAACCTTAGTAATAATAACAATAATAACAACAACGGTATTGCTACATCATCAAAAACTGACACTGTTAATGTAAATCCAAAGGGTGATTCCTCATTTGGAATTCGCCAAAATGTATATCAAACAAATAACACTAGTAATAATAATGACACCACAACAACTTCAAATACTGAAAATGATGAAAGTGAAAGTAATAACAACAATAATAGCAAGAGCAGTAACAATAATAGTGAGTCAACAGGAGGAAAAAAACAATATAATTGTTTTACATGTAAGGTTGATTGTACTCAATCTCGTTATCATAGTTTAAAGAATGGAAAATTAGATCTGTGTCTCAATTGTTATTCATCTGGCCATTATCCCACTTCAATGCATAGTGGTGATTTCTTAAAAATGGATGAAGCACAATTCAAACATGCTCAGGATGAAGAATGGACAGAACAAGAAACTTTAGCACTTTTGGAAGGTATTGAATTATATGAGGATGATTGGCACAAGATTGCTGAACATGTGGGTACTCGTACCAGAGATCAGTGTATTCTGCACTTTTTAGAATTCCCTATTGAAGATCCATTAAATGGAGCAAAAATGTCAAAACTGGGGCCACTTCAGTATCAAAGGATGTCTTTCAGTCAAGCAGATAATCCAGTGTTGTCAGTTGTTGCATACTTGGCATCTATTGTGAGTCCTAATGTTGCAGCAGCAGCAGCTAAATCAGCAATCAAAGAATTACCGTCACCATTACCATCATCATCATCTGCCGTTGCTGCCAAAAATAATAATAATTCAGAAACTAATCCAAAGGAATCTAATGAATCTAATGATGTTAATCATGATACACAAACCATCGAAGAAGGAAGAATTGGTGACATTGTTGATGGAGAAATTAAAGTGAAAAATGAAGATGCAATGGACACAGAAGTGGCAACTGAACCAAAGCAAGATTCAACATCACAGAATATAGATGAGACTTCTTCATCATCATCACCTTCACCAATAGATATTGCAAATTCCAAATCAAAATTATTGGATAGAGCAACAGCAACAGCAATGGGTGCAGCAGCAGCTAAAGCCAAGGTTCTGGCAGATTATGAGGATCGAGAGATACAGAGACTTGTTAATAAAGTTATTAAAAATCAATTGAAAAAACTTGAACTCAAACTTCAACAATTTGACGAATTAGAAAATGTTATTGAGAATGAAAGGAAGGAAATAGAGAAACAACGTCAATTGTTATATCTTGAACGCTTAACTCTTAAAAAGAATAGTTTAATTATACAAAAACAATTAAAAGGAGGTGGTGGAGGTAGTATTGGTGTCAATAATATTACTAACAATAACAGTGGTAGTAGTAGTAGTAGTAGTAATAATAATAATAATAATAATAATAGATTAGTATCTACAATTGAATATCAACAAAGACAGCAACAACAATTACAACAATCACAAATAGGACCATTAAGTAAAGAGGAAAGTAAAATTGGTGAACTTTAGATTAACAGATTCCAAATAAAAAAATATTCAATTAATCCAGAACATTGAAATACACAATTTATGTGTTTTATTTTTGTATATAAATAATGTATGTAGGGTTATGATAGAATTTTTTTCATAAATTTTTCATTTTATCCAATAATTAAAGAACTTCTTTTGCCTCAACCCAACCAATCAGTGTTATACCATATAATAAGTGACAATAACTAAAAAATATATTATTCCAAGAAAAAGACTAGTTTCACTCTCACTATTTATATATATAACCCATCTCTTTTATTAGAGAATGAACTGTATTTTTATAAAAATGAATTTGACGATATAAATGAACCTAGTTCGTTTCACCGAGACGGAAATTGAGGATTGCTAAAGCTATCGGGATTAAAACCCAAGACCCTTACCGTTTTATTGCTTTTGATGGGTATGTATGAGGAGAGTCATTAAGCAATGTAAAACCATTCTGACATGTCATAAAAAAACCTTTTGGTATGTCATAAAGTCTTGTTTAAACCAGGATGCAAAAAAGAAAATATGAACTTCTGAACTCAACTACCTAATAAGCAAAAACCCGAACCAGAAAGCTTATTAACTAAAAACTTAATCACAATCTCTTTCAGGAATTAGTGAAGAATGTTAATTCTTATTATACCCAAGAACTCAACTAATTACACTACTTACTCTCTCCTGCTAATTAGGATAACTTTTTTTAATAAAAAGTAATCAATTTAATACCAGCCCTAGACATACCAATAATTTGGCCACGAGTTTCTTTGCTCAATTCTTTTTTTGGGATTTAGGTTTTCATTTCCATCTTTAAAAAATTATGACAGCGTAATTCCTCGCTCAATGAAATTTACAGCAAATGACTCGGGAATATACTGTACTGTGAAATTTCAAATTTTTTGGAGGTGAATGTAGCTATTTTTTGTTGACGCCAATGATTACGCTCGATGAATAATAACGTTGTTAAAGTTGTTGGTTCTTTATTAACTCTGCGAGTAAGCTAATAATTAACATTGCTATTGTTTAATAACAAACTATTTAATCGCGATTTTGCAATACTGTTTCCATTTATACTATTATTATGGAAGATGGTCCACTTGTCACAATCCGTCAACCAATAATACATCTATCTAATGGAACTTCAGAATCTGCAATAATTAATTCACCTTTAGCTCATGCCCTGTTCGACTTGGACAGTGACAATATCAAATTCACCACATTCTGTACAAATTTGTGAATGTCACTGACAGCGTAACTTCTTCCTAACCGTAGTGCGTTCTCGAACCAGTTTTGACACCTTCCATTTGTTTGTCCTCATCTTTCCCCATATCAATCAAATTCATGGTTGGAAGATGATCAAGCTATATATGGGATGATAGATTGAGGAAGCATTTGGTAGGAATTATCATATCCATAGTTCCTACGTTGTTTTATAATAATTATTATTTTTAATGTAAATCTTAATAGGTATATTAAACAATTTCCAAGATTGTGGACAATGAAAATATTAGAGGTTGTACTTTCTGAATATTCAATCAATTAATTTTAATATTCGGATAATCATTAAATTTATTTAATCATTTTACATTCTATCAAAATTATCAATATTTTTTTTCAAAAAAAAAAAAAAAAATCTTTTCAAATAAAAGTGGATCAAATTTTGTTCTTCTTGAGGTCATCATATAAGTGTGTAATATAATTAGATGTAGATTCACTGCCACATACTACAACATTACAAGGAACAATAATATCAAAAACTTCAGAGACATTAACTTGACAAATAACTCCTTTAGATTTTTCTCCATCTTTTACAATTTCAGTTTCTTCCATCAAGTTCCATATCCAATTTGACTTCTTAAAACCACCCTTTACCTTTCTTTTCTTCAAAATATGAGTAGCAGAAAGCTCCTCCCTTCTCTATTATAGTGACTGAAGGCTCTTCTTCCATTTTAAATTTAATTTATTAGATGGATTAAATGTTAAGAGAATTTATTTCAATTCAGTTACACAATTTGATTATCACTTAATTCATTCATTAATATTTGGTCAATCAATCAATGAAAAAATCAAATATCCGATTAACCAAATACTCACTGAATATTCACTGAATATTATTCATTAGGTGCAACCTCTAGAAAAAAATGATGCCTAGAATTATGATTTTTATACTCTGGCGTCGGCAGATTGGTTGGTTAGGATATATTATACCATCCATCAATAAATTAAATATCACATGTGGTACTTCAACATCTAATCCTTGGGTTTCTTTTATTAATTTACTTCATTACTATTTATCTCCTAGTCTATATAGTAATAGGATTTTTTAACCCTTCCCCTATTCTTCATATTATTTAATGTCGCATTAAAATATATATCAATTTTTGATATTGATCATTAGTTTGATGATGATGTCGGTGTCGTTCAACCTTAAACTCCAATATACGCTTTTCAATTGCTAGTTCACATTCATATGCCGATTCCTTTTGATATTCTAGTTCAGATCTAATTCAAATACATCATCATCATCATCATCATCATCATCATCATCATCATCATCATCATCATCATCATCATCATCATCATCATCATCAAACAAAAAAATATAGATGTATATATATATATACCTAAGATTTAGCCTTTCTTTTTCTGGAAGGCGAATTACCTAACCAATCTTTTACAATAACAGTGGCATAAATATAACATATTGTTGATCAACAAATAATATCATCATAATGACTGGTTTTTAGAAAAGAAAAAATACATTCATTGAAAATTTTAGGTAAAGGTAAAAAATTAAATGCGTTATTAATATCTTTATGTTATTTATTTTTAACGCTTTTTTTTGACGCGCGAATTTTAAGGTGTGAAACAAAGACAAAAAAAGGTTTTCAGTAAAATGGAGACTTTTAAAAAACAAAGATTTTCATTAACAATAGATTTCTAGGTTCTTTTTTTTCCTTTATTATCACAAGAATGGTAATAACTTTTTTGTTTAGATTTAAAAATAATATTAATATTAAATATTTGTTATTATTGAAAATAGACTTATTCTAAATAATATGAATGGTCAGCAATCCCTTCACAAAAATATCAAGACTGAAAGGATCGAATTCATTTGAATAGCTCTGAACTAGAATATCAAAAGAAATTGGCATGTGCATATGGACTAGCAATTGAAAAGTGCATATTGGTGTTTAAGGTTGAACAACACCAACATCATCACCAAACTAATGATCAATATCAAAAAATTGATTAAAAAACGTATAATATCAGCGAACCCCGAATTGGTTCTTGATGCACCAAGAATGATTAATGACTATTATTTAAATTTATTGGATTGGAGTAATAAAAATATGGTAGCAGTTGGATTGGATAAAAATGTTTATCGGTGGGTAATTAGGGTTCGATTCTGGAGAGGGAGCCTGAGAAATGGCAATCACATCCAAGGAAGGCAGCAGGCGCGCAAATTACCCAATCCCGATACAGGGTAAAGGCATTTGCTAATACTAGTAGTGGTGCTAGAATTATTGATAATAAGATTTCTAGTCTTTCTTGGTCTGAAGATGGTGATCATCTTGCCGTGGGATTGAATGACGGAATACTCAAATATGGGATATTTTGAGTGGTCATACTACTTGTGTAGGTGTTATAACATGGAATAAACAAATTATTGCTTCAGGATCTAGGGATGAAGCATGATGTTAGACTTGCACGACATAAATTTGCAGAATTACATGACAATACTAGTGAAGTTTGTGGTTTGAAATGGAGGAGTGATGATGAACAATTGGCTAGTGGAGGTAATAATGACAACAAAGTTAATATTTGGGATGCAAAATCAAGCATTCCAAAATTTATTAAAACCGACCATAAAGATTCTGTCAAGGTAAATATATATATATTAATATGATAATATTAAATAATTTGATTTATAGATATGTGTGTGTATTCATCAATATATATATATAAGCACACTATAATATAAATAAAGGCTATTGCATGGTGCCTTTGGCAAAGAATTTTGCTTGCAACAGGTGAAGGAGCAGCAGATCAACAAATTTATTTCTTGAATACAGATGCATCAGTACAACTGAAATCGATTAATACTTAATCACAAGTTACATCAATTGTTTGGTCAAATCACTACAAGGAGGTATTATCAATTCATGAGTATCCAAGTTTTCGATTTATAATCTGGAAATATCCTTCACTAAAGAAAATTATTGATGTTAAGGATGCACATGAGAATCGTATTTTACAATCAGCTTTGAGTCCTGAAGGAGAAATTGTAGCAACTGTGGCAGGTGATGATTGTTTGAAGTTTTTGCATATATTTCAAAAACCAAGAATGGTGGCACTGGCAATGATGATTATGGTGATGATTATGATAAAAATAATTTGAATTTAATTAGATAATTAATTAATTTAAATATATAAAAATTTCAAGTATGAATATCCAGGATGGTTACTAAATCAAATCATTTCATTTTAAAGGAGTAAATATAGATTGTTGACTAATTTGTGTTAAAAAAAAATATTGAAAATTATAGAAATTAATTATTGCTGATAAAAAAGATTAATAATAATAAAAATTTTCTCTGCTTTTGAGTATGTTAATCTTTTGCCTTTGAGGATTCAAATCACATTTATTAATTATTATATGTCTTTATTTTTTGGTTGTTTGTCAAAGATACTGGCTGCAATTTTTGGTGATGGTTGCAATCATAGTCTTATTGCTGGCACCATCTTCATTTTCTTATTAAATTTATAAATTATAATTGGTATAAATTATATAATGCACATCAATCATTTGATGGTAATCTCATTTAAAATTTACATTATCATATTTGCTTTTACTGACATTGTCACCTTCTTCCTCATTGTAAAGATAATAAAGAGCCATTAAATATATAATCAATAAATAGAACTTGTTAAAATTAATGTTGGCATTTATGTATAATAAGAATAATGGTTGACATTCTTTTAGTAAATTTTTTATTGAATATTTTTTCTCCAAAAAAAAAATTATGTATGATTGTTATAAATCAATTGTTGGTTTATTTTTGAATTTTTTGGTTGCTCTAATAGCTGACCTAAACCTAAATTGATTTCCATATAATGTGAATTCATGATTATGAATAATGAATGTAAATACATTATTAGCTTTGGGAAGGCCTAAATGAAATTTTGAATGTAAATTAATATATATAGGTTTACCATTAGATAAATTATATGAAAAATTACACGTAACAATTTACTTTTTAAAACATCGTTTTTTGTAATAAATCTAAACATATTTTCAGTTTCTTGGACTATAATTCCTGTAACTCCAATATATGAAGGACACTTGGATTTACTAACTATTATAATTATTAAAATTTATAAAGGTTAAAAGAAAATATGACTGAATTGACAAAGAAATATTTAAAAAAAGGAAAATATTTGAAACCTGTTAAGATTGCACCATGAAAATCTGCTTTTAATAATTTTTGAGAAAAAGCACTTGGACCAGAAGTTCCATAAAGTTCATCAATATATTGAAGCCAAAGTTCATGAAGTGGAATAAATAATTCATATCTAATAAAATAATATTAATAATAATAATTATCACTATGATTTTTTTTTCTTTGATCAAATTCCACATCAAATTAACTTTTACTTTTGACAATCTTTTGGTATATCATAAATTCCAAGTTCTTTTTTTTCCTTTGAAGTAATACTTTTTTGTTTTCTTTTCAATCTTATTAATCTCTTTTTATTATCTTCCGATTTTTTTTTAGGATTATCAAGCAAAATGACTTTGTCTTTTAATTTAGCGTCATAAGCTTTTGCTGCAGAATTTTTTTTGATTTCGAAGTTTGTTTCCAATGTGTCCATCACAAAATTTGGTATAAATTTCTTTGTGGTTTCTGATACTAATGGTTGTTCCTATAATGTAAATTATAAATTGGTTAATTGTGGGCACAAATAACAAACCAACAATGGATTAAGTTAGTGAACAAAGTGATATTACTTCATTTTTTACCACTTGAGAATTTTGTACATATTTTGGTAAAGGTGAATATAAAGGATTATTTGACATGATTTAATTTTTTTTATTTAATAGTGAGTAAAAAAACATTAATCACGAGATGAATGAATTTAATGAAAATAAATTTAGTTAACTTTGGAGACCGACGGACGATCTTTCTAATAATCAACTATTTATACTGAAAAAATAGTACATTATTTTAAAATTTTCTTCTTAGGCCATAAACATGGCCATAAATAAACTAGAAAATAATACAATGAATGTGACTAAAGCTATAGAAGTGAAAGAACTTTCAGTAGCACCAGATTTGGGAGAGTCAGTAGGAGTAGGGGAATTAGAAGAGGTATTACTTGGAGCTTGAATATTTATTACACCCCACATACCAATGCTACAATGAGATCCTTCACTACAATAGTAATATAGCGCACCACTCTCCTGATTTATATTGACTATGAAATCACTTGGTGGATTGACTTTCGAATCGAATACATCTGTTTTTGTTGATCTCGTGCATGATTTTTCGCTGTCTGATTGAACTACGCTGTGTGGAATATTTGGATTAACAAATTTGAATATTACCTGATAAAAAAGAAGATAAATGAAATACTGTAAACAAACAAGCAAATAATATCTATTTATCAATCTGTATACTTACCGTATCTCCATTTGAAACTGTGACCTTTTGTGGTACAAACTTTAAACCACCTTTACCAACTTCAACCGAGACATTATTTGCATTAACAGTAGTGATAATGAAATTCTCAGCTAATATAATCAATAATACTATAATTAAACCATGTTTAAAAATTATCATTTTTTAATAAATTTTTTTTTTTTTGTCGTTGAGAAAGGAATTTTTTTTTAGAGGGCAAAAATTGAGAATCAAAGTATTATAAACTTTTTTTTTTTTTTTTTAGTATTTATAATTTAACCAGTAAACATTCTTCGTGATCGGTTTTCTTTTTGAATAAAAAAATATAAATTTTTGTGGTGCATGCAAAGTGATAAATTTGCTTATTTTATATATTAAAAAATTAATATCATGTGCCATATCACCAGAATTCCTTTCCGGAAAAAACTTGATATTAAATCGAATTTACAATAATAAAATAAATGGGCAAATAATAATAATAATAGTAACACCAACATCAATATTATTATATTACCACTATAATAATAAGGCAAGTTTTGTTTTGAATGAATATGGCCTTGTGTAAGTTTGTAGTTTAAGCAAAAATATGTATGCTATCTTTTAATGATAATTTATTTGTCTAATTAATTATTTTAATCAAAGGGCAGGCTAGCTTTAAATTAACTGTAGGTTAATTGGGGTTTGATTATGTAGAGCTTTTAAGGCTTCACTTTAACATAAACAAAGCAAGGTAATAATAATAATAAGACCATGCATGGTTCTTATATGGGGTATACTGCAACAAAACCAGACAAAGTGAACATTGGTGTTACCAAGATTTCAGGGTTCAAAATTTAGTCATTTGTGATTATAATTATCAGTTTTATAATATCCCATTTGTTATCTTCAGTGATATATAGAATTACCTCTATATAAAAATAGTTAATATGAAACTCATTTACATCCGATCTACCATGGAACCCAAGAATTATAGCACCATTAGAAGTATTTTGAAAAAGGAACAAGGTGAAAAAATTGCTCCTTACATTTTTAAATTAGCAGATACCAAATCTTTGCAAACATATTTAGACAAAGAAAGGATTACTTATGAAATTTATCAAGAAGAAAGAAAAATAATAAATGTTAGAAAAAGAAAGCAGAGTGAAAGTGCATCATTCCCTAACAAAACGCAGAAATCTTTGAAAGAAGGAAATAAAATGCAATGGATCTGATTATTGCAGATCTATTTTTTTACTGACAAAGAAAATTCTCCTTTATGCAAATGTAATTAACAATCATCATATTGCATTGCTTATAGTCATTGAAATTCGTGAATTACTTGGAGAGGGAAAAGGCATTGTTGCTTCCACAATAAAAAACTTTTACCAACAAAAAACAAACCCTAAGAAAAGAACAGTAGATGCAATTCAGGAGTGGGTTGAAAAAGAAAAGAAGAAGAGATAGAGAGTGAGGTTGACAAAGATAATGAAAACAGTGAAAATATAAATATTAGTAATAATATTATTATCAATAATAATAGCAGTAAATGTTAGATTTTTGTCAGGGTGCCCAAAGAATAGGTAACACTTACAAATGGCTTTATGTCTGAGTATTTTCCTCCCATGCAAGCACTCTTTAACTTATATTTTTATAAATTATTTATATATTTTTATATTATTAGTTAAATTAAAATAAAAATAATTTTCTTTTGTTATTTGATTTTATTTATATTTAGTAATTTGTGGATATTATGAAAATATTGAATTGAATTTCATGATTCCTGGACATATTAAATTCAAATGTGATGGTAATTTTGGCATGATTAAAAAACTCTACAGAAGGACAAGAGTAGATTGTCTTGATCATATGGTTGAGGTGATAAAAAAGTCTAGTCCAGAAGGATTGAATAAAACTCAGTGTTATGAAGGTGGAAAAGGTTTTCAATACTTAAATATTAAAGCGATTTTGGGAATTTATTTTAAGAAATTACCAAGTATACAGAAATACCAACATTTTCTTTTTGAAGCATCTAATCTTGGTACAGTGAAAGTTCAAGAAGTTGCTAATGGATCTTTTGCTGAATTCAATTTATTGAAAACCAAGAAAGCAGATATTTTTGAAGAGATTAAAGCTTTATCTATTTTAGTTTTAACACCACCTCCTTTGGGCTACAAAAGGCAAGAATATCTTTATCATAATATTTGCCCATTTGTCAGAGATGAGTTTAAAGATATTACTTTCCCAAGACCAATATATACTGGCAATGAATAAAATATTTAGAATAAAATCACCTCTAATGACTTCATCTCTTGTTGATTTATCCCTCACTGTCATTAAGTTTAATAAGTTTAATCTTTTGACAAATATTGTTGGCCTTTACTTAATGTACCCTTTTATAAAAAAGATATAAGTATATTAAATAAATAAATAAAAAAAAGAACAAGCAAGTAAATCATGAAAAACATAATAAATGAACAACAAGTAAATAAAGAACTATTAAACAAAATTGCTGATTTAGAAAAGCAGATAGAAGTTTCAAAGATTCTGGTCTTTCAGGGCCTGTAAATTGATCTGTTGGACACATTGGGATAAAGATATGAATGCTGCACATGATCATTTTTTTACATATGGACACTTACAATGGAGGGAAAGAAACCAGATCCATTTACAGTGTGTAACAGAAAAATAAAATTGAACACTGTTAAATAATTACTGCATTAATTCACATGAAAAAAGCAGAACTTTTATTGGATACACTTTAGTATAAAATAATTTCACCATGCTGTCATCTTGATTTTTTGATCAGATTAAATGAATTAGAAATAAATCAGGAATTAGGTCCCACTTTTCAATGATAAATCTTGAGGCTTTTAACTTCTGTTTCATTATTTGGTTGCAAAAGTTTTTAAAGAAATAAAAGAAGAATGAATGAATGAATTGTGAGATTTCAACAGTAATCTGTATCATTAACATACTCTATTACTTACTATAAGCCATATCACCTGTTTGCTTCAATTTATTAATATTGAAATGGAATTCAAGAATGGGATGCTTATAATTTGTGGGTGAATGTATCCCTTTATTCTAATAATATAATTGCAAAAAAAAAAAAACAATATTCAACTTTATTATACATTTTTCAATTAGGAATGAATGATTCAAAATCACATAAAAGGTAAATTTTTGTTTAAAATTATTTGTTTTTGTCACAGGAATCCTAAGATTATCCAAGTTACAAGCTTAGTCCTAATCAAGATAAGCATCCCTTATATACAGTGGTAACAGGACCCTGCAAACTTCATAGATAGGTAGGTCAGTAACAAAAATTCCTGTTTGTAATATGATTTGACCTAGACCAAAATTAAGTTTATATATAACTTGACCCTAAGGTTTGAAATAACATTAGAAAAAAGAACATAATTTGACCCATTAAAAATTTTGAAACTGTATACTGTAACAAAAACAATTTTACCAATCAATTGATTTAAGGGTAGGGGGAATCACGTGTTAATTTAATAGTAAATCATGGCTCAATTTTTTTTGCCTGCCGGGTACAATGTTGATCAATATTTTTATGAAATATTAATATACATTAAAATTTCCTATAATAAAAATTAAAAAAAAAAAATTATATATATATATATATTTATTTATTTATTTATAAATAATAATCCCAAGAATGAGAATATATCATTTCTTCAGCACCCTCAGCAATATCCATAATTAATGAATTATACCAACTGACCATTTTTGAATTCTAAAAATAAAATAAAATAAGAAGCCTTTGTGTAGAAATAATTACTAGTAGATAACACTTTATCAAATATTTATTGAACTTTATTCTTTTATGAGAATTTTTTGCCAAATAAGTATTTTACATTATGGAATGTGTAACTTTTACTAGGAAATGAGTAGGTGCTTACTAAGAAATGAGCAGGTGCTTACTAAGAAATGAGCAGGTGTTTACTATGGAAGAAGTTATGTTTATTTTGAAACGCGTTAAGTTTTTTGAAGAAATTTACAAATTTTTATTAAGAAGTTTTGCTTGAAGTACTTTCAAATAGTTAAGAAACACCAAAATTAGATATAAATAATTTTGAAGTTGTTTCAACGTGTCTTGCCGTAGTTTTACTTTTAAGACAATTACTAATTTGGGAAAACTCGAATTTTTGAAAAAATTGAGCCCCGGATTTACTATTAAATTAACACGTGATTCCCCCTACCCTTAACTGATAATAATTCACTGATTTTTATAATTTATAATATTTATTATTTTTTTTTAATATAAAAGATTTACTATAAAGTATTGGTTGAATGAGCATGTAAGAAAAAATCTTGTTACACAAAATTTTTGGTTCGTTGAATACTAATAGATTTGGCCCCTATTAAACCTAACCAACCTTTTGATGTGTATAATAATTTTTATAACTATGTAATATTTCAAATAATAAAATTTTTTATTGCGGGGCTTGTAATTTAAACCGTAGATTCTATTTCGTTCGTTCCTTTATATTTTCCTTCGCCTGGACCATATGCTTCACCATCATAAAAAGTTTTTACCTATATAAAAAAATATTTTCGAAAAACTTCATTACTTTAAGAAGTGTGTTTTGATCTACCTGATTCATATAAACTTTTTGGTTTACGAATCATCAAATCTTCTCTATTATTCAATTTAAGTTTTTTAAGTTCTGAATACACATGATCAATTGATTCACACAACTTTTGTTCACGATTAAGAAGAACAACAACGTTGTTATTAAAACAAATATCAATGTTCGTAAATGTTTATTCATGATTGAATATTTCCTTATTTCTGTGTGTATAGAATGTGTTGATTATATAATAAACGACTTTCAAATTTAATGTTAATGTTTTTAGTGCATCAAAATAATTCTTAAAACAGACCAGTTTCGGGCGGATTAAGTGTTAACCTGAAATTTGGATCGGTCTCTGATCTGATATTACATTTGCATTAATTAATACTAAGAAAGTAAGCAATATGCATATGAAAATTTATATTCTAATTAAAGATTTTATTTTGAGATGATAAGATTTAGATAAGTTTAAATGAATTTTTTGTGTTTATCACATAAGATTTGTTCCCCAAATTTTATTAATTAAATATAAATAAAAAAACAGTTATACTACTAGTTAATATACATGTCGTTAAAATGAAAGCA